TGTTTACCCGGCACTCGGCGGAAGTCTCACCTGGCCGCGGTCACGGGATGCTTGTCTTGTCTCCGGATGGCGGCGAGCGCGCTTTTTCATGTCACCGCAAAAATGCCCTTCCCCCGATGTTAACCCCTAAACCAGGCGCTTTGAAACATCCCCCTCTACGCCGTCTCCCATCCGTGTTATATATGTCTGTGTACATTCAAGAGGACCTGTCCAGCAGCAAGAAACCTGCGCGAGAAGCTTCAGATTGAAGCAGCTGTTCCGTGGCAGAACCTGAATTTGGTTTAGGGGGAGCGTGGAGACGACTCTACGGCCCGCGAGATGGCGGTACATGTGTGTGCGAGTCTTACCACAAAGCCGCCACGTGCGTCCTGGGTCAGCGCCATCCCGAAATGCATGTTCTGCATGTGCTTGGAGACGTTGCGGAGAGCCTGTTCACCTGGAGACGTGGCCGGGGCGAGGCATGATGGGAAGGAAAGAAGAAGGAGATGAGATTAGGAGGGACGGCCTCTACCCGCCGTGAAAACCCCACCCCCACTCAAAGCGGTCTTGTGGTTTAAGATGGAGCGGGCGAGGGTCAGACGCCCCACCAGGCTTTTATTTCTGGTAGGAGGAGCGCGTCATAAATAAACCTCAGCAGCATATTGTTATATAAAAGAGAATAAAGATAGCTGACGCATTTCAGGGGGCGGAGTCTCCATCTTCAGGGCTAAGGGAGGAGCCTAAATCCCCCAAAACGCGTCGTCTTTTGCCTGTTTTACATATTAACATATAACAATAGACAAGACTTTTATTTTCAGCGCCCCTCAACCACCTCCATATCTAAAAGGGACCCAACTGAAGACACCCCCGTCAGTCAACTGCCACAGATCACCCACCACCAATAAGGTCCAGCTATACTTCGCCCGCCATTTTATTTCTGTCTGTGTCCCCATTAGGCAGATTGGTCTCATTTCATGTCCTGGTGACACCCATGAGAAACGGGGGTCAATAGAACAGGAAGAGGGAAACTACAACAGACCGGCAGGTATTCTGTCTGTCCCTCCGGATCCTTCACACAACTCGCTCTGTGGCTGCTCAGCTTTGTGACAGGTTCCCTTTAAAGTGGACGTGATAGAACTGCAGGTCTGTGATTTCGGGTATAGAAGCCGGGCTGTCACATCGATCCTCTGGCTTCCATCCTCACTGACCTGGAACTTATATTAGGATCAGGTATGCTGGAGCAGTGAGGTCACAAGGGGGGTGTGGCCTGCACCGGGTGACACCATAATGACCGACAGTCATGTTGGTGTCACCCCCTCTGAAAAGTCAGGCAGTAGGTCATGGATCGGGATCCTGAGGGCTGCACCAGAGAGGAGAGGGGGACCCGGAGGTCTCCTTTAAAGATGTCGCCGGTGGAGGGCGGTGGGGGAGGGGAGTTCTTAAAGGGACTTACCTAGGTTGACTTTAGCGCAGGTGGAGTTGCTCTGGGCGCCGACCATGCATCGATAGACGTCCCCCTGCCTGCTGCCGTCCGGCCCGTCCCACGGGGCCCCGACCAGCACCCTGCGCGGTGAGAGACAACAAACAAATTAAAGGGCAACGCTGGCTGATGAATCGCATGAGCCTACATAATTCAGCAGGCTTTTCACAGTGCTCCCAGGTGGAGCCACGGCCCCTTCATTTCTCCTCCCTGGAAACATGGAACAGCAAATGCGCAGGCGGGAAAGTGGCTAGAGAATGGTGACTTGGCGACACTTCACTTTCCCTTTTTGATGACTTCCTAAGCGATCCCAGGCGCCGGCGTGTAACATTTCACCGGCTCTCCCTTCCCCCCGCCTTCCTCTGGATGCACAAAACACCCGATGGCTCTCTCGTTAAAACCTTCGATGGCTAAAACAGACCAGAGGTCGGAGCTCCCGACGGGGCACATTAATGAAAACAGCTTTTGCTGTTCCGTATTTCCATCGCTTGTATTGTTGTTATTGACTTTCCTTTTGTCTGTCTATTGGCCGCTGAGATCAAAGCCTTTGTAAGGAGCCAATGGTTGTGAGCCAGTCATGGCTGACTGGTTGACTTGCACTGGCAGAGAGGAGCAGTGGGCATGGGAGGGGGCGGGGGGGGGTAGTTGTGTAGTCATGTTCTGTTCTGTGTCTGCATGCTTGCTCCGGGTCAGTCATTCAATACTCAAGGATCGGGATGACAGCCTGGCACAGCAGCTCCCTTGACAGGTTCCCTTTACAGCTGGAGGCCCCCCCAGGGACCTGAGATGTGACCCGGATAACGAGGAGCCCCTGGCAGACGCCTTTGGCGGGGGAGGTGAAATGTAACACTGTCTTGTAAAAAGGGGGGAAACGGCTTTTCCAGAGATCGCCGGCTCGTGGGGGCGACTTTACCGTGAGAACAGGTGATCAGCTTCACTCTACTTACAGGCGACGTCCCTGCAGGAGGGCCTGGGCTGTCTATGGGCCATCTGACTGACATGTTTGTTTTACTGACGCATGTCCCCCCCTCCACTGGTTACCCCCTCCCCCCCATGCTGATCCTTGGGCTTCAATAAATGGGCACCCCTGACTAGCTAACAATGATGCAGATGTGGAAAGCCGGATGTTCTGGATTCACAGATGTCTCCGAATACTGAAGTCGGAGGATCAGCACGACAACCAGACCACAGCCAAGGGCAACAACGGCAGTCTCCCTTTCCAGTCATGGTGATCCTCTGGCATCAGTACTTTCTACCTTCCCCCCCCGCCGCACTGATGAAGGTTTGCTGCGCTCTCAAAGGATCAGAATGGCAGCCAGGAAACAGGCAGTTGAGGACCGGTTTACCATTTCTGTCCCTCGGCTTCATACTGGAGGACCGCGTAGCCGAACTGAGCCTCTTCCGGGCCGCGGAACACCTGAGGCCGCTTGGCGTCGATGTTGAAAGCCGCGAGGAGGTCTGAAAAAGAGGGAAGGCGGGATTAATACACCTCCGACATGTGCCATACAGGTCGCCACAGAGGATGGACATGACAGCACACAG